GGTTTATAGTGCACTGAAGACCGCATTTTGTTAATAAATGTGAGCAAAGAACAGGAATACATGGGAACCGTGTGGTCGGGCCATGAGATGAAATGGTATTGTAATATTTCGCGCTCAACTCCTTCCTGTTTAGCAAATTGTTTTTCATTCAATTCAATCACAACTTTGTCTTAATGTAAGAATTTTATCAAAAAAATGTGAAACCTTTTCCGCGATAAACGAGCGAATGATATAATCGGCGAATATCTCTGTTTTGGTTAAACTGACTTTTATAGTGCCGTAAATGGATGTCTGTTCCGTCCAATACTTATCGCATTTATTCTGTACGTTAAAAGTTTGACAATACTATTCAACAAATACAACGCTACCGAGTAATGGGTGGTCACACATACCTTTCCCCCCTCATCAAGACTGGTAAGCATCACAATCTGATGGCAGTCCAACTGCCAGATCATTCGCCACATATCGTTGATTGTGTTGGGAAGGGGTCCCTGAGTGGCCACATAGCGATTCGGGCACTTATAGCCGTCCACAAAGTTAGCGTTGATGTAATCGGTGTTCATATCGTTGTCCTGAGTGTCGAGCACAACCCTGGAGTGGTCGTACGGCAATAGGTTTCCGTACCGATTCTTGGGCTTGTGGTGCACTTGTTTCCCGTAATCCCATTTCATGAGTTGTCCCCTAAAAACACTGAGAAACTCCTGCTTAAGGATACCGTTCTCGATCATGAGCGGTACCGTATCGCTCAATTCACCAAGGTCAATTGGATGCGATTTGATTTGAAATTCTTGTTCGTGAAATGACCCAAACGATAGGGTAGAGGTCCGGTACGACTGGTCATAACCTGACCCCAAAGACATGGTTAAGATATTTGCTTAAACTTATGATAAAAGTTATGTACATCTTATGTATTAGTGTGTTATTATCTTTAATAGTTATTTTCTTATCCTTATAAATCTCCCCAAAAATAATTGAGTTTTTATTGAGTAATTTAATGACAAGAATTTTTTCATGTTTGTATTTGTGACAAAACAAAATATTAATTGCCATTTCATGAGATTGTAATTACAATTAAATATAAGTTATGAATTATAAAGCTTTATATTGCATACCATTGGCGTCTCTTCTCAACAGTTTTCTTCTATCGCTTTTACTCCACAAAAGAAATACATTTTGTAAACGATTTTCTCCCGAATAATTACTATAAAATTTTTACCAAAACTTTAGTTAATTATTCAAACAATTAAAACTAATTCTTAATTAAAACACACATATAAAGCAAAACACCCAATAGTATGAAAGTTATGAACAAAAGTATCGCCAATACTATTATGAGTATAATTTCCAAATGAGATTTTGGCTCCACTTTAAAACAGATTACAAACATTACAAGACATTACAAATGCA